TACATTCTCAAATGGGACTTGGCGTAGATGTGGCCATTTTTCTTTCAATTCTGACCACTGAAATGCTGGCGTGTCACTGGCGATGTTGTCTAATACGTGTGCTTGCAAGGGTGCTGTGAATGTCCCATTGAAACTAGTCACTGACAGTTCCACACGTCTTGACCGTTTCTGAATCTCTGTTCCGCCTGTTCCTGCAATTGTCAGGTTTAACGATTGCCCTTGCAGCTCCAGCTCTCCTGCAGCATGTGCCGAAATATAAGAACTTGTTGAACATGGATCTAACATTACATTGACTTTCAACTTCTTCTGACCATCGCTGATAATGGCTGGAAGAACCATTAATGAAACATTATCAGACATACTCGTTTTGTGAGTTCTCTCTTGCGTGGATGATTCGTCTCTCAGTTGGTTATTGATGTCCATTCTACCAGACTGTTCGGTTCTTGCTTCTTGAGCTGGTGGCTGTCTTGGATAGAAGGTTGGCGCATATGGTTCTAACTGCTGTCTAGCATTTGTGTTTCCATTCTGTAGGGTGCTTTCATGAAGATAACTGCTATGGTTGTTGCTCTGGCATCCGTCAACTCCGCATTTTCGTGCTTTACGACAATCTTTGCTGTGATGCCCAGCTGCCAGGCACCGATAACAACGGCTGCTTTTTGAAATTAATTCCTTTCTCTTCTGTACAGGGAGTCTCTTGAAAGCATCACAAACCCATGGTGGATGGTCTTGTTTGCATGTGCTAACAATACAATGTCTGGTTGAAAATCGTGTGTTGAATCCTCGGAAACGCGGTCGTTCATCACGATTCTTGTTACCCCGTTCCTCATTCTTCTTACCAAATCCTTCAGTCTCCTCTCTCGCTTCCCCAAGGACTTGCACTCGGAGTTCCACCAAGTCTACCAGCGATTCAAAGCAATCTTCTCGAGCATAGTCTATCAAGCAGTATTTATACGCTTCAACATCCCGTTCGGTTAGCTTTTCTTTTGCTGATAAGTTCAGGCTTTGATCTTGTAAGGATCCACAATTGTTGATAGTGATCAAAATTCTCTCTAGTAGGGCTTGAAATTCTTCCAAGTCTTGTAAATTGTGGGACCGAACCTTAGGCCAATTACGCAAAGTTTTAAGCTGCTTTATTTGTTCTCGTCTCTCTCCCCCATACCTCTTCTCTAACTTCGACTTTGCTCGTTCGTATGCAGCGCTTGAATATCCCAAATCTTTCACCAAGGTCAGTGCTTTACCAGCTAAACAGCTTTGTAACCTGAGAATTTTTTCACCAACTGGAATGTTCTGCACATCAACCATTGCCATAAATGCTGCCTTCCAGGGCTCATAATTGGTTTTATCCTCTCCAGAAAACTTTGGAAGGTCGACTCCTTTCAACTTGATGGGTGATCGGGTTATTGTTTCAACTGGTACTCCCTCAGGCGATCCGGTTGTAAAATTATGTTTCGTAAGAAAATCCTTTACAGTATCACAATCTTTGACTAGTTGTCGTTCCGCATTTTCTGCCCGTGACTTATTGAGCTCAGCTACTTTTCTTGCTTCCTCTGTTCGCTGCTTGGTGAGTTCAAGTTCAGCTGCTAATTTTCTCATCTGTTGTTCTTTCTCTTGTTGTTCCTTTTCCATTCTTTGCAATCTGTCATTCGCATTCTTAGCTTCTAATTGTTTCTGCTCTACATGTGAAGGTGTTGTTGAAGGTATATTGGGGGGTACTTTGGAGGGTACATTGGAGGGTACATTGGAGGGCACATTGGGGTGTACATTGGAGGGTACTTTGGAGGGTACATTGGGGGGCACATTGGAGGGTACATTGGAGGGTACATTGGAGGGTACATTGGGGGTACATTGGGGGGTACATTGGAGGGTACATTGTGGGGTACATTGGGGGGTACATTGGAGGGTACATTGGACGGTACATTGGGGGGGTACATTGGGGGGTACATTGGAGGGTACTGAATCTTTATCCACACTAACATGCGATTTAAGTGAAAGTAATACTGACTCGGTCTCCCCTTCATTAATTCTATCTTCTATATGTTTTTCTGCTCTTTCAATAATTACATCAACTGAATATCCAATGTCCTCTAACTCTTTGTCTAATGTATATATTACTGTATTAGTCTCTTCATTGTCCTCAGTCATGGCATACACTCCTTTCAAACTATCGATAATCTTTGTAATAATATTCATCTCAGAATTAATTTTATGTACGGCTCTTCTTACAGCATTCTTGCTAGGTAGTGCCACATCTTGTGGTCGATTTTCAATACGGTCACTCAACTGTTTTTTGGCTTTAGTCATTCTACTTTTGGCGAATTTCTTATTATTTCGTAGACTTTGAATCTTTGTACTTACGGTACTTCCACTTTTAACGCTTTCTTGGTCAATAAGGTCAGCTTGCATAGTTGTCGTTGTCTCATATATGTCTTTTTCCTGCCCTTCGATTCGGCCATGTTTCTCTTAGTTGACGCCATTTTGAAATCGTCGAACAATCGTATTAAGGGGGGGGGGGTACACATGGAATCATTTGAAAAAATGGATTTTCATTTTTTGAGCTAAATAGTTACTGTGGCATGTAATTGATGTTGTGAAAGTATTTATTTGCTTAAATTTAAAAAATTGTTTTGTCAGGAGCTGTTTTTAACCACCTCACTATAATTTTCAGCTTGGTTGCCATGGTAACGAAAGGCAGAATTCTTCATATTTTTCATGTTTTTACCAATATACTGCTGTCCCTCCCCTCCCTAATATAAAATAATGATACAGGCTCATCTCTAGATGATTTTGCAGCGGATTTACGTGGTGATTATGCGCATAGATGCGTTTTTTTAGAACTAGTGATTGAAACAGAACAAACTCGAAAATGTGTTTCAATATTTAATAAATATTGATCACTTTTGTGTATATATTTCTTAACATATGGTTAAAAATAACTAATAATGGTTCACAGAAAACATTAAAACAAAACTTTATTCACTGGGATGAAGAAATGCGCTATAAAGACGACGATAAAACGTGAACACATTCAGGCAATAATCGGGCATTATTTCAATGGGCATTCAATGCCAAATATCAACAGTCATCTTCGATTTGGATTCTTTGGCATCTTATAAACATATCTTCAAACGTTTGTTCGGATGAACTTAAAAGTTGTGGATGTAAGTATTTTTCTATCATTGAATGATTGATTCTAGTATACAATAACTCAAAAATGTTAATTAATAATATAATTAGTAATTATTGCAAATTTGCAATATTATGAGATCAAGAGATCGAGTTTAGCTATACCAATAGAGTCATTTAAGTTAACACACAGGAACATCTTTTAAACCAAACATCAAACTACAGGAAAAACTAAGTTTGCTCTTAAAATACAAGAAACAGGTCAGAAAGTCTAACTGCCAGACATCTGAAAAAACAACAGACGTCGACAGGTGCAGCAGCTCCAAAAGAAAACCGAGAGACGAAGCTCTATGAGAAGCAGAAGGGACAACCTATGAGGCTGGAGGCTTCTGAAGTGCTAAAAGTACTTCTAATGACAAAAAATTAGGTTAAAGTCCCTGAGACCTGTCAGGAACAGCTCGAACAGTTGTTTAAGAACTTTAACACTTGTTTTCTCGGAATGTACATTTTCCGTCTTTGAGAAAAGATATCTCATGATGTATTTAACCAATTGTCCTGAAATTTTCAGGGCTTATTCTTTTATTAGAGCTGCCTTAATTAAGCATAGGAAATTGCTGTATCTTGTGTGGAATACATTTTATGACAAAAAATATTATCGAAAAAACCTATGTTAACTTTGTACCTCTGCTGTGACCACTAGATTTATCATACAAAAAAGTTCTATGCTCATTTAAGATAATGATTCTTATACTACTTACTGATAAAATTTCTTAAAATTCCAAACAATTTATAAGCAGATATCTTTTCTCAAATTCACCCTAGTTTTGCACAGCATGTGGTATGATTGCCGGCCTGGTGTCAGGTTACAAAAGACATTAGGTACTAGTGATTAGTATTTTTAGTTTCTATAGGTTATAAGCTTTCTACTGATGTATAGTTTGTCATAACTCTGGTGAATATCTTTAAAATTACAGCCATTTCAAAAATGGCCATCAATCCATGTGTACCCCACCCCCCTTAAAATAGCAAAATTTCTCACTCGTTTGTCAATAGATCCGGCTCCGAAAAGGACCAAATGTTCTCGTCTGTTAGAACGGTCGTTAAATAGTCTGTATACAAGGCAGATTCTCTTTATAATTGTCAAATAACTCTTAATTTCTTACCGATTTAAAAATACAAAACACGCTGTCTTAAAATCAGCACTAAAAGACGCCCGCATTACGCAAGCGCAGCGGTTATATATGTCTTTACTTTATATTACAGGGAACGATTCGTTCCTTAACATATAGATCTCCATGTTCTTGGGTCCTCTGCATCAAAACAACTGAGCAGGGCTTTCGAATAATATTGTCGTAATAAACTTGTTTTAACAACCTCGATGGTTGATCGACCTTTGCTACAAACGACTATATACGACGCCAAATTGATTGCATTAACTCGCAGAGGCTTCCTTTGTTTAGCTATTCCCATCACTCCTTGCGCGCTCATTTTCCCCTCACTAGAAACTTCATGTAAGCCTCTGCGGAGGAGAGAGAATTGCACCAATATATCCAACGGCCCCACGAAATAATTTTAAAATTTTCTGTCAGGAGTGGGATTCGAAACCACGCCCACATTAGTGGTCCAGAACGCCCTTTGGCTGAGTATTAGCACAGCAAGTTTGGAAACTTGAGTCTCGCGTCTTAGACCGCTCGGCCATCCTGAGAGCTGGGAAACTTTGTGCTTTCTGTACTTTACGTCATTTTACTTTCTTAATAATGGAGAAATATATATCTTTTAAACCAGAAAAACATATCCGACTGGAACAAACTCAACAATCGTTACTCACATCGCACGTCAGTGGTCCTTCTGTTGTTTCAAGAGAAGAATCCAATTCTTATGCGAAAGGATCAAATGAATGAATTTTCTGGCAATTTTGAACGTTTGATACTGGGGAAGTTTGCGTAGGGTTCCGAGTTTGCGCTTGTTTCTGTAGTGTAGCGCTCATCACATGCGCATTACGCGCGCAAGTTCCCCATTTCGATCCTGGGCAGAAGCATTCATTTGGTGTTTTATTTGCAGAAAATGAAAAGTGCGAAATTCTGCAACGGACAGAACTCGTGCTTCACAAGGCAAATTTCTGTTGTGTAGTGGTCATCACGTGCGCTTCACTCGCGCAAGGTCCCCAGTTCGAACCTGGGCTGAAACATACTAAATATGTTGAGGAGCCAGGCTGTTTATTATCAAATTTTAATTCGCGTACATGATCGATTGTTAAAAGTTCAACCAATTTTTATAGACAGTTAATTTGTGACGCGCGATACGGGTTGCACTACGGGATCGACTTTTCCTTCCATTCCTTCCATTTCCCCCCGTTTTCGAGATCGAAGAGAGAAGAACTTGCGCATTATTTATAACCTGTTCTAACACTGATTAATGCATCGTCGGGCAGTCAAGATCTGCCCTACCTCCCAACATGTAACGAAGCAATAAATATGACAGCTGTTGCCCGCGATTGAGCTCAAGATTGAGTGATGGGGAGAACGCGAGATTCATTGTCAATGTGCTGCTGGAAACTGACACCACGAAGAATTTTTTTAGCAGATTATAGCGTTTAGTTATTTAAGAATTAAATGGAACGAGACATCGATTATGCAAGATCTATGGAGTAGTTTTCTCCCACGTAAAACTTCCACACCTGAGCGTTACGACCCGCACGAAAAAAATCAGAGCCTGAACTGCACTAATATAGTGCGGATCACGCTGTGATTTTAGGCCTCGCCAACACTTTGCCTGCAACTGCAAAACACCATAGACTGTCATCAATCAAGCAAAACTGATGTGAGGGAGAAGTTGAATATTAATTTTAATGCCTAACGCAATGATATTTGATTAAAAGCTTGTTCACAAGGGGGCTAAATATTATAAAATTGATTGAACTAAAATAGCTCGCAGAAAAAATACCCCGTTGCGATTGTCAAACGTCAAACGATATGCGAAGTAGCTAGCTCTACTCACAGTTAATAAACTAGGACTGCATTCTATAACTCGGCTCTTAAAATGTGGCTCTTAGACGATTGCAGCTTGTCGAAGGTATAGGTCACTAACAAAGTTTGCGCATAAAACCACTCAGCTGGAACATAAATTAAATACGAATGATGTTCATGCACTCCTTAAGTCTTTACGTTTTCTTAAATCTATCATGTAGTGGCTATATAGTGACTGCGTCACAACTGTGTCCTGCGTGTGACTGATTTGGTTTGAATTGCATGATATATTAGACAACACAAAATAATTGAGAAAACAAAGATATATATACACACATACATACATAACGTATCTCAAGTCAAAATATACTCTCTCAAGTCAGTATTCAGAGCTGAAAATGGCACATATATATTGCATGGGCATACTGTGGACTGTTTTAACCTGTGAAATTAATTCTATACCAAGTATGTTTTAATTTTAATCAGTCATTTGAGGACGTTCTATTAGCTTCCACTGGTTAAGAAAAGATGGCACATCTTCATAACCTGCCAGCAAAATATGGCACATATCTCTGGCACAAGAGTTTTCACTAAGTAGAACCTCACACGCGTATATTCTCTACAGATTCCACTGGTTAAGAAAAGATGGCACATCTTCATAACCTGCCGCCAGCAAAATATGGCACATATTTCTGGCACAAGAGCTTCTATACTGAGAGCAGGGGCGGATCCAGGGGGTATCGAGTGTAGCTCAAGATACGGTCAGATTTTTCCGATTGTGCATACTAAAATAGTTTTGGGGGAAAATTCCATATTAATATATTTTCACGCAATTCATTTTTGTGTACAAAAGTAGTGAAATTTGAGTTTACTAAGATGAACGAGGGCAAATTCTTTCGTAAATTTTTAAATTTACAACTCTAAATGTAACATTAGACGTGTTTTTAAAGCATTGAATTACTTTCGACGAAGATGAGCCGAGAGCTTTCCGAAGGCATAACCTGACGTTACGTAACCCGATCGGGAAAATGTTTTCAAATGCGTCTGCGGTGTTGTGATACGGTCTGCTGTTCAAATGTTACTAAAAATAGTAACTTAATGAGGTATTTGGATACCTTGGAGGGTATCCAGCCAATCACAGGACGTGTATCTATGACGTCGGATACCCTCCGATACTGTGGCTGTATTTTGATTGCGCAAGAAATTAAATAATCGTGACCGCTCGGAAACTTCGTCTCATATTGCTAATAGCCGCATTTCATCTAACGTAACTGAGTGAGTTAGTGATGGCCTTACATAATTTCAGAAGACGTCCTTGAAATAACACTTTATAAATAGTGTATTGGATGCCAATTACAACAAGACTATTACGAAAAGGATATGTCCGAAGTTATGTTCGGCGAAAGGTATGGCAAGTTTACATTGTTCTAGAAAAGAGTAATATAGTGAAATATATGATATTGCTTGACCTCTCAAAGTTCATAAATCGCTATATTGACTAAAACCATCATTAGGAATTAGGAGCTATTCTTTCAATGAACCGAACGGTAGTATTTTTGTTTTCATAGCATTCGCCTAACGGAAGATATTAATCTGTAAAGTCATATTGCGGCATTGCGCGTGCAATATGTTATTAATTTAAATAGGGACCGGCGGAGAATATTAATATACTCAGTCGCGAAAGCCGACTTTTCCATGTCAAAACGCCCCCGGCCACGTTTCATGAAACAGAAACTTGAACACTGATGCCAAGAAGAGTTATTGTGTGTTTTTTTTGTTACTTTGTGTTTAAAATATGACCTTGTTAAGGCCAAATTTTAGGCCAGAATCATGGGCTCAGAAAGCAGGAAATGGCATTTCCGGGGTTCAAATTTTAAAAAATTTCCGGGGGGGCATGCCCCCGGACCCCCCTAGTTATGCGAGACCTAGGAAGATGATACGGTCACATTTTAATCTAGATCCGCCCCTGTGAGAGAATATATGCGCATAAAAATCACGAGTCATAAATATAAGGTATAGTTATACGTACGGTAGTGTCAATAACAATATGTCAAACGATCGTTTTACCTATATACACATTGTTTTCATTCCAAGGTCTAGCACAATACATGCATGCCATACATGCAATATAAAAACCAATTTGTTAGCCGTGAATGCTGAATATAGCTCACTTATAGTTATACATGTAGCTATACATCTATACACGTTGACTGAGTACGGCATATTGAGTACTATATTGCAATTGGTGTCCTAGTAATAATTCTCTCGTTTATTTTTACATGCCTGGCTCAATACAACAAATACAAGCTTTTTACTACAGCGCGATCATACCCTTAGGATCGGATCATATTTTTTTGCGCCACAGGATATATTTTTCTGTTACAATTTTAATACACGCATCTCCAATTATATGTTTCATAAATCTACAGATGTACTTATTTTCTTATAGGTTCACATTTATGCAAATAACAAGTAGTGTTTTTTTATTTGTTATATATCCTTAGTTTCATCAAATACAACATAGGCAGCTTTTAGAGTTTTCAAGTCCGAACATTGTGCCAACAACACGAAGCCAGCACATTATCATATTTCACACTACATTTTTTGATCTAACATTTAGACATTGTGGACTATTAATTGTGAAATAAAATGAGATAGTGATATGTGTGTAAAATTCAGTATCCCTGAATGCGGCGTTTCGTCCTTCATGGACTCGACAGCAGGGATTTGGGGTTGACATATGTGTGAGACGGACACAGAATACACAAAGCGATTTGGATTACAGAGTGAATAAACATAAACTGAATAGCAATATATGCGTATGACTATTGTAAAATAAATGTAACTATATAAACTGTCTTACCAAATTCGCTGCCATTTTTTGTCTATATATTAAACGGCCTCACGAAATAATTTTAAAATTTTCTGTCAGGAGTGGGATTTGAACCCACGCCCACATTAGTAGAGCAAAACGTCCTTTGGCTGCGCATTAGTGGAGCAAGTTTGGAAAGTTGAGTCCGGCACCTTAGACCGCTCGGCCATCCTGACAGCTGGCAACCTTTGTGCCTACTGTACTTTACGTCATTTTACTTTCGTAATAATGGAGAAAAAATATTTCATTTAAACCAGAAAAATATATCCGACTGAAACTAACTCAACAATCGTTACTCACATCGCTCGTCAGTGCTCCTTCTGTTGTTTCAAGAGAAGAATCCAAATGGACTTATGCGTGAGGTCTGTCAATTTTGAACGTTTGATACTGGGGAAGTCTGCAAAGGGTTCCGAGCGTGCGCTTGTTTCTGTAGTGTAGCGGTCATCACATGTGCTTTACGCAATGTCTCCAGTTCGATCCTGGACAGAAGCATGCATTTGGTGTTTTATTTAAAGTAAATGAAAAGAGCAAAATTACGCAACGGAATATCCTTTCAAAGACAAAAACTGAAGCGCTTACACTATTAGAAACGTGGTTGAACACTACGATAACGAATGCTGAGATCTACATCGAAGGTTATACATTATACAGACAAGATCGCTTAAATAAACGTGGAGGTGGTGTTTGCGCATACATCCGAAATGACATTAAGGTCTCCAAACGCAAGGAAATTTCATCTGTTTTTGAAAGCTATTTCCATCAGCTTTGGCTGAAACTTCAAAGTAAAAAGTTAAAATCTACCGTAATATGCACGTCCTACAGAACACCAGAGTGTCCGCTGTCCTGCCTGGAAACCAATTTGAAACCGAGTTTTGTCAAAGACCTTCTACTAAAAAAGGTCTTTTTTGTATTGGGAGATCTGAATTGCAACGTTATGAAGGATTGTCCAGAGAACACAGCATTAGGAAATTTCATGTTCGAGATGAACTTGAACCAATTAATTATAACACCAACTAGAATAACAGACACTAGTGAATCGTTAATTGACGTGATAATAACTTCAGCTTCCCATCTTGTCAACGAAAGTGGTGTCATGGATACTCTTATAAGTGATTATTTGCCGGTGTACACAGTTCTTAATATGAAGCTACCCAAGCCACCACTTCAATATATCCTAACGCGAAGCTACAAAGACTATGACGGAGAAAGGTTCACCGCCCACCTTGCATCAAGATTGTAAGAGCTTATTTCCATCTTTTCGGATTCTAATGTCAATTCCAAACTTTACAATTTTAACAACGTCCTTCTTACAACTTTGGCTGTCCATGCTCCAGTCAGATTAACTAAGATCCAAAATCGCTCTTGTCCCTTCATCAGAACAGATATCTAAATCCAAATGTTCCACAGAGACCAACTCCACCGTCGTTACAAACGAACACGTGATATCGATGATTGGAGAGCATTTAAAAACGCCCAAAGATCAGTCAAATCCACTCTAAAAACTGCTGAAAAACAACACGTTCGAACTGAAGTTAACCTCCATAAAGATAATTCTAGATCGTTGTGGAACGTGATTAATAGGTGCATTCCATCTAAAGATAAAATAATTTTGACTTATCACAGAATTACATTATATGTGGCCAACGATTTCAACCACTTCTTTCAATCTGTAGTAAAAAGAGCTGCCGAAACAGCTGAAATGTTAGCCCTACAAAATACTTTAAATATATCAACTGAGTTAGAGCCTCTGAATCGAAGATCTGAACTCTTCTCTACGGAATTGTTCAAGTTTACTCCCGTTAGGTCGTCACATGCACAGAGGTTCAACGCATAATATCAACAATGATATTACGTGATGTGACGCCAGCACAGGCGGCCGTGCGCCGTCTTGCTCTGTAAAATTATATGATTTTGTCATTGCTTCTTTGGATTTGTAAACAAAATATATAACGAATTGGTAGATAAAGTCGACGTCTTGGAAAATCTGTGGTATTTTTTAAATTATCTTGGTCGTTTATTGAGTAATTGGTGGATTTGTGCTTATTTTTGTACCAAATCTGACATTTCTCGTTGCCTTTTCCGCTCGCGCAAGCTAAACGGACGGTTAATCTCACGAGTGCAAACGAACACGCCAACACGTGCGCTTAATTAAGCGCGCGCGCTAATTAATAAGAACAAAATTATACAATTCCTAATCCTATTAGAAATGATTTTCCCAAAATTCATCTACGTTATTGTTTTTCTGTGGTTGGTTGTACGTGGAATAAAAACTACGAATGAAACCAAGATTAATTTGTTCTATGCCTCAACGAAAATGCATGGACCACCGTATTCTTATGGACTTCGTCGTGTTAAGAGACATGTAACGCGGCTTTGCTCTCGGTTCATCGTTTTGTGCACGGACTGTTACTGTTACAGAGATCGTCTTTGCCTTTGCTGTTAATTCTTTTAGCTAACGATGTGGAATTAAATCCTGGTCCAGTAATTTCATCTGAGCATCTCGAACACTGTTCATCCGTCGTAAATAATCGAAGCAACACCATCGCGACTGAACGTAAGACATTTCGCTGTTTGAGCTGGAATACGCGAAGTTTGTTTAGTTTACATAGAACATCTGATGGAGATATGATATCAAATAATTCAAGTCTTCAAGGTTTTGTATATTCGGAGCAAATAGACATCGTTTCCTCACTGAAACATGGCTGTCCAATAAACATTTTGATGCAGAAATTTTACGTCAAGATTATAACGTATTTCGTGTCGACCGTAAATGTAAAACCGGCGGTGGCGTACTAAAAATCGAAATCGTCTGCGTTGAATGCGCCACTAACAATGCGCGAAAAAGTGGCGTACTAAAAATCAATACTAGAAATCGTCTGCGTTGAATGCGCCACTAACAATGCGCGAATCCTTGTTGTCTGCTGCTACAGAGCTCCTGACTCCTCGTCAAAATGGCTTCTCTCCGTTAAAAAGTTCTTAGATTACATCATCGACACTTACGATATAATTATAATGACTGGTGATTTCAACTTCCCGCGAATCTCGTAGTCTGAAAGCATGGTTATCCCAACCGGTGAATCCGAGAGATTTTTCTACAACACCTTATACAACACCCAAGTCAATTGATCTTCGCTCCAACAAGAGAAACTAACGTTCTTGATCTTATCATGACAAACATTTCACACAACGTTAACAACATTATAGTAATTGATCCAACCAATTTCAATTTGTTTTCCGACCACAAGTGCATACTCGTTGAGTTTCAAAGTACAGCAACACCTTCCCAGAAGCTCAAAAGATCGGTTTACGATTACAACCGTGCGGATTTTGAAAAAATGAACCGTACTTTTGAATCGATTGAATTTGAATTTAGCGATCCCACATCGATGTCCGACATAAACGAGAACTGGAATTTATGGAGAGACACTTTCCTTGCTGTAGCTGACGAATGTATTCCAACAAAGATTGTAAAGGGAAGATACAATCCACCATGGTTGACCGGTGAGATAAAATCTTTGATCAAAAAGAAAGAAACACTACGGCGAAAAATCCGTCGCGGATCAAATTCTGCTGCTCTTGTACAGAAATACAAGAATCTCCGCCGTACATCTAAGAGATTAATTAGAGAAAGTCGGGAAAAGTTCTTTGGTTCCCTAAGGGAAGCTCTACCATCCAATCCGAAACTGTTCTGGTCATTTTTTAAAACAACCACTAAATCCAGCCGTATTCCACAGCAAGTTTCCGTCGCAACAGGCAACGAAGACTCCCCACGCTTAGATTCCACTAGTCAAAAGAAGCTGCAGAAATGTTCAATAACTACTTCCACTCAGTATTTCTAACAGAAGGTGATGGTATTCCAATCCCCACTCCACTTGTATGTGAAGAGACTATTTCTGACATTATTTTAGACTCGTTCTTCATTGTCTCAATCCTAGTAAAACATCTGGTCCAGATAATATATCAATCCGCTTACTAAAAGAATGTGCGCACTCCATCACACCATCATTAACATGTCTCTTCAACAAATCCTCAAAGCAGGCCTCCCTACCATCAGAATGGAAACTGTCCAACATCATCCCGCTTCATAAAAAAGGAATCAAGTGTTTTGTTGAGAACTACAGACCAATGTCCCTCATGTGCGTTGTTGCGAAAGTTTTAGAACGTTGTGTTTACAACCGTCTGATTGGTCATATAGAGAACATGATATCCGTCGCACAGCATGGTTTTATGAGAGGAAAGTCTTGCACAGGTCAGCTCATTTCCGTTCTACACCGCATCAGTCAACACCTGGATTCAGGGAAGCAAACAGATATCTTGTATTTCGATGTGGCTACAGCGTTTGACACGGTGAATCATAGCCTTCTTTTAAAGAAACTCCAACGATTTGGACTTAAGGACAATATTTTAACGTGGTTTAAAAGTTATTTATCCGGACGACAACAGCGTGTACTAGTCAATAGTGAGATGTCAGAGACACGTCCAGTTCCCTCCGGCGTTCCGCATGGATCAATACTCGGATCACTCCTGTTTCTCATCTACATAAACGACCTTCCCGAATCAATAACCTCATCCGCTGTTGACGTTTCCTTGTTTGCCGACGACACAAAATGCATCTCAGTTATTGAATCACCGGTTGACTCCTGTGTCCTTCAAGCTGAAGCGAGAAACCTGGAGAAATGGGCTGAGTTTTGGAGGCTCAAATTCAACGCCGAAAAATGCAAAGTTCTGAGCGTTACGAGAAAACGTCATCTTCTTGTTGCTGAATACATTGACAACGGTAAAACTTTGCAGCATGTTTCCTCCCAGAAAGACCTCGGAGTGACGGTTTGCTTAGATCTCAGATGGAACACTCATATTTGAGAGCAAGTTACGAAAGCCAACCGCCTACTTGCATGTATGCTCAAATGTTCGACTATCAAGGTTAAAAACGTAAATACCCGACGCTGTCTCCACCTTACACTTGTGTGATCCCATCTTGCTTATGCCTCACAAGTGTGGTGTCCCCAGACTATCACCATGACTATTACCTCTCTGTTACTGGCACGAATATCTTGATATCCTGTCCCCCTTCAAATGCAAACATGGCTTGATTAAAACTGATATCCTACCAGAAGAAGTTGACACTCTGACTTCAACCATAGGGTTGGGTTTTTCGCCATTTTCGTCTTATTTTATCGACGGATACAGAATCTATATATATTCTCGAATTTATTCTGTTTGACAATTCTGTCATTTTGTTTTCCCAAATTTTGAAATTTTACGCTCTCTCTCTCTATTTCGGATAAAAAGGATTATACTATATTCTTGTTTGATATTTAAATTATAAGTTGTGAAGTTTTGTATAATGATGTTTTGTAACCGGTCACTAACGTAATTGGCTCACGCTGTGTTAGTGTTCCTGAACCGTCTTCCTGTTTGCATATGTTTATATTTCTGTTGACGGCTGAAGTTAATAAATAAATAAATAAATAAACAATGCCGTCGAATAAATCTCCAGGAGCAGACAAAACCAGCATCCGGATTATTAAGGATTGTCTTCCGGTCATACTCGGCCCATTGACAGACAACATTAATAACTCATTTACCACCTCGGCGTTACCTGAGTCCTGGAAAATAGCAGAAATTATTCCACTCTTAAAGGAAGGTGGTCATGAAGTTGCTGCAAATAGCCGCCCACTTTCAATGCTTAAAGTACTATCAAAGATCTGCGAAAAAGTTGCCCTAAATCAATTTAGCGATTTTCTTATCCGCACTGACCGCCTATCCTCCCAACAAAGTGGAAACAAAAAGTATTATTCAACCGAAACACTCAGTATATTACTCAATGATTTTTTTCTAAAATCGATGGACAACAAAAAGCTTACTGCTCTAGTCCTTTTGGACCTCTCAAAAGCGTTTGACAACGTCGACCATTCAATCCTGTTAAAGAAGCTAAACAATTTTATGGGCGTCCAAAAGGGACAAAATTATGAACACACACACAATTAATTCCAATACTTGTAAACACTATGAAAGCTCACACATGTAATACGAAACGCTCACAAAAGACATTCGAACCACGCGAAAATAAGTCGAACCTCTCACACACTAGTCGAATTGTCACACACACAATACGAACCTCCCATACACAAGTCGACTTGAAATGTCACACACAAAAAAGTCGAACTTTCTTCGTGGGGGGTTTGGCAAATTAGCATGTTAATTTAATTTATTTATGACGAAAAAATTTGCATATATTTCCGTACTTTGTTTACGGCGGAGGAATAGAATGTTGCGATTTCGAGTGTTCTAACTACAAAGCATTCTTTTGGCTCACGTGTTTGGCTTGAATAAGGATTCGCATATAAGCCGAACCTCTCACGCACAAGTCGAAATTTCACAGACACAATACGAACCTCTCACATTCAAGTCGAAATGTCACACACAAAAAAGTCGAACTTTCTGTGGGGGGTTCGGCAAATTAGCATGTTAATTTATTTAGGACGAAAACGTTTGCATATATTTCTGCACTTTGTTTACCGCGGGAGAATAGAATGTTGCGATTTCCAGCGTTTTAACTACAAAGCACTCTTTTGGCTCACGTGTTTGGCTTGAATAAGGATACTGTACATCGCATACAACAGCATGGAATAGGATAACTTGCCTGTGACGGAAGATATAATTCAGGCGTTGGTCCGGGGGATAGTAGGCAAGATCAGTAATTTGGTGCCACTGAAGATGATCATGAAAAAAAAATCGATTTTGCTTGCCGAGAACTAGAGCTGAACAACAATGCCATTCATGCCAACTCGCCATCGCGTTGACACCGTGAAACAATGTAAATGGTCCTGTTATTACTTCATTGATTTCGTGTACGAGTTCAAGTTCAATACAAGCATCCTAGTACAAGGAAATAGAACAAAAGAGCAATTTAAACTATGGCTTGCAATGAAGATCTGGTCCTGGACCAACGAGACAACGTGGTCCGGCGGTCTTGTATTAATACTCGACGCCTTGCAAGTATTGTTAAACACGAATATTTCCTGAAAGATGTTTTTGCCTGCTTACTCCAATGGGTGAATATAAAGTCGACCTGCAAAGACTACATGAAGTCGATGAAGTAACAACAAGACCATTTACACTGTTTCTCGGCGTCAACGTTTCCCGTTATCAGGTCTAGTTCTCGGCAAGCTTCATTTGCACCAATTTGCTGATCTTGCCTGGGCCTATTATCTGGGACAAATATTTCGTCAACTATCCCCTAGCCTGCTCGCAGGCCGTTGTCAGGCAGAGGCTTGGAGGAACGGCCTGCGACCTTTATTAGTAAAAAGTCGATTTATGCGTACGGAGCGTACGACATTTCGCAATGTAATTTTAAAGCTGGTATTCAATCAGTGGCGTATAAAACCATGATTTTGTTTATCTCTTCGAAGAAGTAACTGAATGTATTTGAGAAACTTTCAATTTAAATTAACGTAGAAAGATGGGCGAAGGTTAGCAAATATTAACTGTACTTCCAACGAGATTTGATAAAAGTTTAATATACCAATACTTTGTCTTCGTCAGCTATAAACCTTTTCCAAAGAAGTACAAGGGAAATCTTCGACGTATGCCTTGCTGATCTTTGCAGAGAGAGTAAAATAAGTCTAGTTCGGGCTGAAAATTTATCTAACCGCGTTTGCATCACTTGCGGCAGAAATCTTCGAGACTTTTGAGTGTGTTTTCAAACGTTGAACAACTTAGCCCAGCGAGACGTTCGTTACACAGGCAGTGAATCAGCTAGTACAAAGCAGTTGATTCTCAAATGCCTCCGAACATTTCTCCGAATTACTTCCCTGTCAATCCAAGGCTTTCTGCCACAACAATCTGGTCTTGAATAAGCCAAGACAATGGGCAAATTATTAAAACAGACGCCGTCGAGGAAAGTCGTTCTTAGAACACCTGGCCAATTTGAATTTACACCTGGAAATTTTGCAATAGTCGTTTGCGTGTTCTTTGACCGAAGTCCGCTCTCTCTTTGAGACTTTCTTTTTGGGAGTCTCAACTAGTGACATATATTATTACAACAAGAGCTTTTTACAAAAAAAATGTAGTTATTAAACACGGCAGAATCTATGCCGCGGCCACGGGTTTTCAAATTGTCTATTGTCTATTGTCTATTGAGTAATTGTATTATTGAGCAAATGACAGACTTCACGCAATAATGATTAATGTTGTTTTTAGCCTGCTATTGTTCGACACTTTTAATAAATAGTGTTTGTTCGGCAAATCCTAAATACGTTTCCTTAAATCTTACAGTTATATTTTGGATATAAATGTATAAAATACACTAGCTAATAGAGAATAAAATTTTACATATTTAGTTACAGTTATTTTTAGTATAGTTACATAATTTAAAACGACAATGTATACGAACAAGACAGCAATATACAAACGGGACTACGTTTTAAATATTAGAACACTTTAGGGAAAAACGACCACGCATTATTTTAGATTAAAGTTTAGACCTTGGAATCGATCCTAGTGAAAGATACAGGCGTAAAATTGCGCGAGAAACTGTTTGTTGTTGTTAATAACCTCTGGTAATCTAATTAACAAAACTTACTTTGATTGGCTACTATTTACCGGATATTCAATTATCTCAAAGGGGGGCGTATTCAAAAAATATCAATAAAAGTCGCAGGCTCTATATATTGAGCCTGTGAGCAGGCTAACTATCCCCCGGACCAACGACTGAATTCTATCTTCCGTCACATGCAAGTTATCCTCTTCCATACTAAGCCAAACACGTGAGCCCAAAGAGTGCTTTGTAGTTAAAACGCTGGAAATCGCAACATTCTATTTTCCCGCCGTAAACAAAGTACGGAAATGTATGCAAATTTTTTCGTCCTAAATAAATTAAATTAACATGCTAATTTGCCGAACCCCCCACGAAGAAAGTTCGACTTTTTTGTGTGTGACATTTCAAGTCGACTTGTGTGTGAGAGGCTCGTATTGCGTGTGTGACATTTCGACTTGTGTGTGAGTGGTTCGGTTTATTTGCGCGTGGTTCGAATGTCTTTTGTGAGCGTTTCGTATTACATGTGTGAGCTTTCATTGTGTTTACAAGCATTGGAGTTAATTGTGTGTGTGTGTGTATGTATGTATGTATGTATGTATGTATGTATGTATGTATGTATGTATGTATGTATGTATGTATGTATGTATGTATGTATGTATGTATGTATGTATGTATGTATGTATGTATGTGCAGCCTGGCTCATTACCAGTTAATGAGTTTGCAAGAGACACTGACAGATATTTCTGTCAACCCATGCCATAGACTGGCAGTATCCTTCCACTGATGAGCAAAATTATCTGGCATTAGACAGTCCAAAATACTAAAGTAGACTCATTTCTAATATTGTAGAAGCATGGGAAGACATCTAAAGGGAAAACGACGACAATACAAGCATAACCGCAGGGAAAGGTTGAGCAAGAAAAGAGTCTTTTTTTATAGAAGTCCAGAAAGATCATAAAACACATCAAGAAGAGAGAAGTGAAAATATGACAACACAATTGGATAATGGCAGCCTAGACCTAGGCCTTCTAGTCTTATTTATATTTTTTCATATTCAGCGCTTTTTCACATGAAAAGACTGGGACTAGGTGATTTGGGGGCGGGGCGGAGGAACCAAGCCTAGAAGGCCTAGTTGATTTCCCAACAACATGGCCAAAACTGCCCTGAAACTGCCCTGGTTGCGAAATGCCCAATTATTGCGTTCTCAAATAGAATTACTTGCAACTTAACGGCGAATTTAAACCGATACAGGTAAAATAAAGTCATTTATAGTATAAACTTACTATTTTTATTTGTATACACGTCTAGAAAATCGGGTTTTTTATCATAAAGTTCGAAGCAACACTATTATTTAATATGTTGACATTTACTTGACAAGGTGTAGCGAGAGCACAAAATGAGTCAAAATATATACCAAAAGTAGAATCTTTCATGAAATATTGTCTTATACACAACTACATTAATATATATTTTCTCAATTTTGGCAAGAAGCAGTCTTGTGTTTGTAAAATATACAAACACATATACAATTATAATTTATTAAATAAAACGGATACATATATTATTAGCCAGTACAGTACTGTATATAAAAACGTACATTGTTTACAAATGGTATATCCGTAATATTTGAACAATAATTTCAAATTCCTCATTCCCAAATATAGTTATTCAAAGCAAAACAGTAGATTGTCTTGCGAATAAAAGAATTATTATTTTGTGCCGTTTCGCTACACCTTGTCAACATATATAAATAGTGTTGCTTCAAACTTTATGATAAAAAGCCGATTTTCTAGACGTGTATACAAATAAAAATAGTAAGTTTATACTATAAATGAGTTTATTTTACCTGTATCGGTTTAAATTCGCTGTTAAGTTGCAAATAATTCTGTTTGAGAACGCAACAATTGGGCATTTCGCAATCAGGGCAGTTTCAGGGCAGTTTTGGCCTTGTTGTTGGGAAATCCACTAGGCCTTCTATTTTTTCGCTTGCGTCAGGCTTGTATCCTTCCTTCGCCCCGCCCCCAAATCACCTAGTCCCAGTCTTTTCATGTGAAAAAGCACTGAATATTAAAAAAATATCAATAAAAATAGAAGGCCTAGGTCTAGGCTGGGATAATGGTATTGCAAATGGGAACAAAACTAGTGTCGCAGAGATGGATCGGAATGTAGAAAATGATTGGTTATACATCAATATGATTAAATATTTCAAGAAAAATAATGGATTTTTGAAGTTTAAAGAAATTTATGGAAAAACCAAAACAAGATAATCATAGTGAGCAGTTGCTGTATGATTTGTGCAATTTGCAAGAACCATTAGTAGAGCTGTGGCAGTATAGATAAACATTTTTAAGTTAATATAGTATATACCGGTATTGCCTTGTTGGAAAATCTCACTAACTTTATAAGCTTTTGGATGAACTACACAAACAAGATCTTTATGCTCTTGGGTCAAATTGGAGTGCCCATTTATTGAGATCTTTAAAGAAAACTTTTTCAGTGCGTGATTGTTATTGTGCAGTTAAATTCAATTTAGCTCCATGATTGTGATTTTTTAAAATTTTTTTTGAAACTGAGAAATTTTCTAAGTATGAGTACGAATGGGCTGTAGCCTACAGTAAAACTGTCTGTACCAATATCGGTATTACCAATGTGAAATTGCCGTGCTGAATGTGAATTTTTCTGTGTAGGCATGCATGTAGCTATATTTACAAAATCTCACAAACTTTTATAAGCTTTTGGATGAACTACACAAACAAGATCTTTATGCTGCTTGGGCAAACTTGGAGTGACCATTTTATGCATAAGATCTTTAAAGGAACCTTTGTCAGTGACTGTTACTGTGCAGTTAAATTCAATTTAGCTCCATGATAGTGAGTTTTTTTTTTCCTTCTGAAACTGAGAAATTTCCTAATTATGAGAACAAAGAGGCCCTAGCCTAGAGGAATGTGAATTTTTCTGTGTAGGCATGCATGTAGCTATATATTTACAAAATCTCACTAACTTTTAAAAGCTTTTGGATGAACTACACAAACAAGATCTTTATGCTGCTTGGGCAAATTTGGAGTGACCGTTTTATGAGATCTTTAAAGAAACATTTGTCAGTGAGTGACTGTTACTGTGCAGTTCAATTCAATTCAGCTCCATGATAGTAAGTTTTTTATTCCCTCTGAGACTGAGAAATTTTCTAATTATGAGAACAAAGAGGCTCTAGCCTAGAGGAATGTGAATTTTTCTGTATAGGCATGCATGTAGCTATATTTACAAAATCTCACTAACTTTTAAAAGCTTTTGGATGAACTACACAAACAAGATCTTTATGCTGCTGGGGCAAATTTGGAGTGACCATTTTATGAGATATTTAAAGAAACCTTTGTCAGTGAGTGACTGTTACTGTGCAGTTAAATTCAATTTAGCTCCATGATAGTGAGTTTTTTTATTCCTTCTGAGACTGAGAAATTTTCTAATTATGAGAACAAAGGGGCTCTAGCGAAGAGGAATGTAAATTTTTCTGTGTAAACATGCATGTAGCTATATTTACAAAATCTCACTAACTTTTAAAAGCTTTTGGATGAACTACACAAACAAGATCTTTATGCTGCTGGGGCAAATTTGGAGCGACCATGCATTTTATGAGATCTTTAAAGAAACCTTTGTCAGTGAGTGACTGTTACTGTGCAGTTAAATTCAATTTAGCTCCATGATAGTGAGTTTTTTTATTCCTTTTGAAACTGATAAATTTTCTAATTATTAGAACAAAGCGGCTAGCCTAGAAGAATGTGAATTTTTCTGTGTAGGCATGCATGTAGCTATATATTTACAACTTTTAACTTTTATAAGCTTTTGGAAGCATGAACTACACAAACAAGATCTTTATGCTGCTGTGGCAAATTTGGAGTGACCATTTTAATTATGAGATCTTTAAAGAAACCTTTGTCAGTCATGAGTGATGGAAAGTAAACTTCAGCAAATATGAATGTTAACATTTACATCTTGTTTACAAGAAAGCAAATATCACATTTACACAAGTTTCTCCAGTCTGGCAAACTTCGTGTTTGCATCAAATTTGCATTATAAGAAAATATGCGTAAAGGTACAATATATTTACTATGATTGCAAATGTTTGTCAAATTGTGCACAAACTTTAACTTTAATATACTGCGTAAATGTAATCTAAAATATTAGTAAATATAATATTTACGCATGTTTATCTTACATTTATTATAGAATTAAACATTTATTTTTACTGCATATTTAACCCTCAGGTAAATATATTTCAAATATAGAGCTCTATATTCACACCATATTTACCTAGAAAGTAAACTTAAGCAAATTCAATTTTTCGTCCAGTGAATCGGACTGATTTAGATGAATTAAATTAAATTAAAATACGGTCGAGCGGTAATGAGAATCAAGGAATTTATTTTATGTGGCCCAATATACTTTACCAATACAAATTTATATTAAATTTGCGAACCTTACAAGGCTATATATGCCGTATTTTACAACATTTCACAACCAAACTTTGCAATTTTACTAATTTTTGTATGCTATTTCCGGGAATATACTTTCTTGCCAAGCTAAAAACAAGTCTATACTGGGAATTGTCTATTGATTAGTTCGCCTAAAGATTTGAGCGGTTTATCAACAATACAATTTCGCTTGTCTTTCAAAGGCCATAAATCGCTAGAATACTGCTGTTTAGAGTTACAAACTTTTAAGCTGCATGATTTGGGAATATTTTTTCCTTCTTGGGTGTATAAAGCGCAGCAAAGAAGCGGTTCTGAGAGTCCAAGATTAATTATGATTTTCCCGCAGAAGAGGAAATTCGGAGCACGTGCAAGTGCAACGTTAACGAATTTTACTGAGGAATGTCGCTATTGATCCGAACAAACTAATAAACTATGAAGAAACGCTCAGACAGAATATAAACGCAGACACCGCAATAATTGTTGGTATTCTTGAGTACGAAGCGATAATCAAAGGCAGTCTTTAAAATATGCTTTACCTACTTTAGAGGTGCAGATATATAATATCTCAGTGGGAAATTCTTTCCTACAGGCTACAGCCAAATCATTAGAAAGAAAACAGCCATAAACAACCTAATTAGAACAAAATCTTTGTATTTATTAGAGGAGTATTGAAAATTTAATTTAAATCTCGTGCTTTCAAGCCATAAAATTGCTGAAAAGTTACGGTCACGATCACGTGGTGTTTACATTGCCGGATTGTCACTAAAAAATCTTGCCGGAAGTTGCAAGTGTAATTGCAAGTGTAAACAGGCTTTCTTGGGCATGGCAATGAGAGCACTTGCTACGTCGAGTCACATCACATGCGCTTTTCGTTTGGTACAAAATTTCGTTTGAAAATAAAGTCGAATCCAGTCCGTATCCCGTACTCCGCACTCCGTACTCCGTACTCCGCACTCCGTACTCCGCACTCCGTACACCGCACTCCGCACACCGCACACCGTACTCCGTCTTTTCCACCATGCCAATATAAACTGATTTAATAATCGTTTCCCCCTTTTGCTAAACAAACAAGCTTTTTTTAGGCGCTTTCTCGGTATATGAGCAACCGAAATAGGCATACAATACTTTACACATTGCATACATTAATGTACCTTAGCCTACCTTAGGGTACGTTAGCCTACCTTAGGGTACCTTAGCCTACCTTAGCCTACCTTTGGTACCTTATCCAACCTTAGTCTAATTTAGGGTACCTTAGGGTACCTTAGCCTACCTTAACCTACCTTAGGGTACCTTAGCTTGCCTTATCCTACTTTAGGGTACCTTAGCCTACCTTAGCCTACCTTATTGTACCTTAGCTTACCTTAGCCTACTTTAGGGTACCTTAGCCTACCCTAGAGTACCTTAGCCTACCTTAGCCTACCTTAGCCTACCTTAGCGTACCTTAGCCTACCTTAGCTAACCTTAGCCTACCTTACGTTACCTTAAACTACCTTAGGGTAACTTAGACTACCTTAGCCTACCTTAGAGTAGCTTAGCCTAGCTTAAGCCTACCTTAGGGCACCTTAGACTACCTTAGGGTACCTTAGGGCACATTTGCCTACCTTAGCTTTCCTTAGGGTAACTCAGCCTACCTTACTCTACCTTAGGGTATCTTAGAATACCTTGGCCTACCTTAGGGTACCTTAGCCTACTTTAGCCTACCTTGTGGTACCTTAGCATACCTTAGCCTACCGTAGGGTACCTTAGCATACGTTAGCCTTCCTTAGCCTACCTTAGACTACCTACAAGTTTTGTAATATTTCTAGGGAGTAAATATTTACTTGTATTATAATTTACCTAGGGAGTAAATCTTTACCTACGCAGAGTCACGCTACGCTACTTGACACACTACCTCAATATGGAATGCAAGGTACTGAATTTGAATGGTTCAAAGACTATCTTTTTTGTCGCAAACAAGTCGTCTCCTATAATGGATGTTTATCTGCAGATCACGACGTGTCTACTTGAGATCCGCAGTGCTCGATTTTTAGCCCGCTATTGCTTTTGGTATATTTTAGTGATGTTGTAGAAGCAATTGAGCACTCAAGTGTTGTCAACTTTGCTAATGACATCATTCTGTATGCTGTGGGAAAGGATATACAATCAATTCAAACCAAGTTATTCAAGGATATGGACAGTTTAGCAGACTGGCTTATGGATAACGAGTTGATTATTAATCTAAAGAGAGCATGGAAAACAGAATCTCGTTTATTTGGAACTGCGCAAAGGATTGCAAAACATAGTGAACCTCTTAAAGTATCGATATCACCTCCATCGCCCACTGTTATTTCAACAACAGATTATATACAAATATCTGGGAGTATTAGTGGATAGTTCGCTAAATCTAAATTCAAATTTTGAGTCGTGCTATTAACAGGCAGCTGGAAGATTAAGGCTCCTGTTGAGAATCTACTTGAATCAGGCAGCAGCCAACGCCATTTATTGTTCGATGATATTACCAACGCTTACGTATTGTGGCATCTTACATCTTTAACTCACACAGACTCAAATAAACAAACTTTCATCTTTCTATGATTGTGCGGTGAAACTTTTTTTAAGAATGGCAATATATGACCCGATTGGGCTGCCAATTTCCCATGCGTAATACAAAATGACAGAAAAACGGCAAATTTCGCAAGACTATATTATCCGCATTTTACAACATTTCGCAACGAAACATTGGAATATTACTAATTTTGTGATGCTCTTTCTAGCTGTGAGGAAATTTTTGTCTAGATCAAAATTCTAGTTATAAGGGGAATCAAAGGTCAATTATATTGCATTGCACTGCACTGCACTGCACTGCACTGCACTGCACTGCACTGCACTGCACTGCACTGCACTGCACTGCACTGCACTGCACTGCACTGCACTGCACCGCACTGCACTGCACTGCACTGCACCGCACTGCACTGCACTGCACTGCACTGCACTGCACTGCACTGCACTGCACTGCACTGCACTGCACTGCACTGCACTGCACTGCACTGCACTGCACTGCACTGCACTGCACTGCACTGCGCTGCACTGCACTGCGCTGCGCTGCGCTGCGCTGCGCTGTGCTGTGCTGTACTGTACCGTATTGTATTGTATTGTATTGTCATAATATTATTATTATTATTACTTTACAGGTATTATTAAATTAATTAGTTGTAAAAAAATTAATCAATTATTGTTAGAACTTATCTGCTCACTACTATAATTGTATTAATATTTTTAGCATCGCTTGTTTTATCTAATCGTCCTAAAATATAATAATGAGGCATTAACTAGCTATGTCAATTGTCTGTTAATTGTAGTTCAACCGATGCTGACTTGGACATACACATGATGTTAATTCTTTGTTTGCAATCGGGTGACTTTTCATCCAAATGACGAGCAATCCAAAAAACGTGTGGACGAGATCAATTTCCCATTGGTAATACAAAATGACTGAAAATTGCAAATTTCGCAGGGCTATATTATCTGCAAATTACAACATGGCAGATTATGGTCATGATCAATTCATTGCCATTCTTACACGCAAGTTTCACCGCACAATCATAGAAAGATACAGTTTGTTTATTTGAGTCTGTGTGAGCTAAAGATGTAACATGCTAAACTGTCCATATCCTTCTATAACTTGGTTTGAATTGATTGTATATCCTTTCCAACAACAGACAGAATGGTGTCATTAGCCTAGCTGACAATACTTGAGTGCTCAATTGCCTCTATAACATCATTAAAATATACCAAAAACAATAGTGGGCCTAAAATCTAACTTGTGGATCTCCAGTAGACTCGTCGTGATTGGCAGATAAACATCCATTCTACCAGACGACTTATTTGCGACAAAAAAGATAGTCCTTGAACCATTCAAGTTCAGTGCCTTGCATTCCATATTGAGGTAATTTGTGAAGTAGCGTAGCGTGACTACGTGCGCAGGTAAATATTTACTCTCTACTGGAGGTAAATTATAATACGAATAAATATTTACTCCCTAGAAATATTACAAAACTTGTAGGTAGTCTAAGGTAGGCTAAGGTAGGCCAAGGTATGCTAAGGCATGCTAAGGTACCTTACGGTAGGCTAAGGTAGGCTAACGTAGGCTAAGTACCCTTAGGTAGGCTAAGGTACCCTACGGTAGGCTAAGGTACCGTAAAGTAGCCTAAGGTACTCTAAGGTAGGCTAAGGTAGGCTAAGGTACCCTAAGGTAATCTAAGGTAGGCTACGGTACCCTAAAGTAGGCTAGGGCAGGCTAAGGTAGGCTAAGGTAAC